GGATGTATTCCAAGGTCAGGGATGTATTCCAAGGTCAGGGATGTATTCCAAGGTCAGGGATGTATTCCAAGGTCAGGGATGTATTCCAAGGTCAGAGATGTATTCCAAGGTCAGGGATATAATTCCATGGTCTGGTGCTGATTGCAGTACACACCATCATACTTATGCTTGCGGATAGACTCAAACATTCTCCGGATGTTCGAGTCCAGTACAGACAGTAGGCGAAGATCCACGTCTTCAACCTCCAGGCCTTGGCTGATTGAAGTTGCGCGATTTTCTCGTCAGCCGTACTGCAACGCAATACAACTGGGTTGTGTCTCAACTAGTGAAACTCAACTAATGATCGACAAAGTCTCGTGGACTAGCAGGACGACATCGCGAGGTCTTCTCCTGGGGCGATGATGATGATGATGAGGTGGGTCCAATTTACCTGGATAGTCAGGGATGTGCCTTCGGGAAGATACTTCCAAGGAGTATATGGACCTCGTCTTTGGCAAGCACGATGCTTGTGTCCCTCAAATCATAGGGCAGCAAGATGTGACGGGTGTGCCAGGTCTCATCGTTCTTTGCTGGAGATGGGGATGGGCGGGCGTGCTTGCTGTATTGCACCCCCCTTGCAGAGCCGCCCGGGAACCGCGGTGTCGGTGAGGAGAAAGAGTTGATTGAGATTTGGGCACCCAGTCTGAGGTTTGGGCCGGGACTCTGCTTGGTCGTGCTGACGATTAGGAATCTCTTTGAAGATGACTGTTCGGCGGAGGTGGTGAATTGGCCAGATGGCATGGGTTCTGAAGTCGGCGATGATTGTGTCCAAGCCAATGTATAGTATATATGTATTTGGCGACCGAAAACCTTTCACGGTTAAGTTGTCGGCTTTGATCAGGGATGCCAGCATTCTCAAGCCCGATGCTTCATGCTGGCCCATAGTGTTTGCTAGATTCTGTAGCTTCCTGGTTCGTACTGACGGTGTTTCCGGCTGTGCGGCCATCCGGAGTGGTGGTCTGTAATCTTGGACCGTTCCAAGCAAAGACTTCATCACGATAGGTTTCATCATCCCAGGCAGTGGATATCGATGTGAATGCCATGCCAAACGAGTCTCTGTGTTCTCAGTCTTTCATTTGTTCCACTTCTTAAAGTTCACTGTCTTGAAGGGATGCTGGCGCCGGAATATATACATCGGGGCTCCATACTTAGCGGCGTATGCAGGGTCACAGGATTGTACCTTAGCCCACGTCTTGAAAAAAAAGAGCTTACCGCAACTTTTCGAGATTCGTAGAGTGTTCCGGATCATCCGTTTCCGGATTCATGGCAGTGAGAGCTTCGCTCTCGTTGAGACGTTATGCGGACGCTGGAATCTCGATAATTCCTAGGTAGATACGGTCCTTGGTCGTCGGTTGTCCTGGCATCTTTATCAGATATATATTGTGTGTCTGATTGAATAGTGCGATTTCTTGAAGCGATCTCTTATCCGCCTCGAGGTCGTCGATATATATGAAGATAAGGTACTCGCCGAGGTTGAAAAAAATATATCACGCTGACGTATCGAGTAGGACGGCTGAGGGCTGTTGTGCTTAGGAATTGTTTCGTTATGCTGTATGACAAACCGTGGTTTGCTAGGGTTCACCTATCGACGGAGATATTCCGGCCTATAAAGCCTTAAGCTTTAAATGTTCGGACTTGGTTCGAAGGAGGTAGAACTTCAGCTCCACAAGCTCTGGAGACGACTCGGGATCAAGGATATTTTCGATGCCGATATTCTCCAGATCGAGAGGTAGCAGCATGCGGAAACAGGTCCAACACTTGGTCTTCACCGGCCCTTTGCCAACACCACGCCAG